ATTTGTACGCGACATCTTGTATCATGCTTTCCGAGTGATGATGCAAAAAATTCTTGAACGACGAGAAAGTCGTGGTTTTCTTCTTAGTACATCAGTTCATTTATCGATTGTTTTACTTTTGTTCTTTTTTTTTGTTCATGATATTTTACCACTTGCTACCAAGTGAATGACATAAGTAGTGCTCGCTGTTACATTGAGAAACATTATCTGAGTCATTTGTCATTACATAGCCATATTATTAAAACAATGATCTTCCCTCTTTGTTTTGCTTTATTTTTAGAATACTCTAGTTATATATTCACAATGCAAATCTTCGTGTATTTGATATCTGGTAGCACCATCACAATCGAATGTGAGGTCAGCGATACTATCGAGAAAATCAAACGTAAGATTGAAGACAGAACAGGTATAGCAACTACTCAACAGCGTCTGTTATTCGCTGGGTTTCAACCGGAAGATCATCGCATTCTGTCGGATTTAGGCATTCGTCATAGTATGTAGTGTGTTAAAGTATTTTCTTAAGGACTTGTCGCTGAAAAACCATAGAATGATTTTGGCATTTTCGACTATGAAAATTTCGAATGAGGTGACAAAAATGAGCACTTACATTGATATCTCAGTTTCTTAAAACTTACTAGTCGACATCTTCAACTGTCGTATATAAGTTCAAGAGCATACAAATTAGGCGTGTAGTAATAGCAAGTCAGTATTAGGGTATTAGTAATGATTGTTGGACGAGAAATATCAAACTCACAATATTGAGGAATCGATAACAGATTGGAATTACTCAGTCCCGAAAGCTTTGATAGACGTTTGCAAGAAGCTTTTGCTCTCGACAAAAAAAAATAAAGACAAAAATTTCGCGAAGCTAATTTTGTATTTTTAATGCTTTCCTTAGGAAAGTACAACCTTACAAAAGTAATTCGTTTTTCTCGGCAAAGTATCAATAGCAATACTAATACCAACGAATGTCATAAATTTTTGGTATTATGAAAATGTCTCTATCACAAAGATGAGCGTTCTATATATTGGTAGTGAATATATTAAAAGTGAGCATGATGAGCTCTATGAAACTGCATTTTAATATGACTGGAAACTAATGTAAATGCTCATTTCTACTATCTTTTCAGAAATTTTCAAAATCTAAATCTGTTAGTCACTCTGTAGATATACTCTTTATATTTGCTATTCACAATTATAGTGCGACTTTATTAAATTTAGATTCCACGTTACATCTAATCAAGAAATTTCAAGATGGTTGTTTCCTACCCGATACACTTATTTCGCTTTCTGATGGAACTAAGAAAAATATCAGCGAAATTCAAGTCGGTGACAATTTACTTGCATTTACGTTGTTCGGTGAGATGGTCACTACATCGGTTGAAGAAGTGTTCATTCATGATGTCGATGAATACATCGAATTAAATGTTGGGCAAACCATGTTGTGCGTAACTGAAGAACACCCATTCTTCATCGGAAATGGTGGTTTTTGTTCACTTAATAAGCTTCGCATCAACGATTGCATCTACAGCTTGGTCGATGATTGTCTTCAAACAAAGTCAATCATAAACAAGAAAACTATTGTTACTCCGGCAACACGTGTCTACAATTTACGCACTGCCGACCCGCACACATATTTTGCTAATGGCATTGCTGTTCATAATAAGTTAGGTCTATATTTTGTTGATGCGAGCGATACAAGTGGTCTCAAACGTTGTGAGTGGGGTTCCAGCACTCCTGATTGTCACTCAGCGAGCCATGGCCTTTGTGTTGAGGCTCTGTGCACCAATGGGCATTGTGAGGCCTATCAAAAGACAGTATTTATTAATATTGGATTTGGACAATTCGATCTGGTTGGTGGCACGAACGCTGACACATCAAAGTGCCCAGTATGTGGTCATTATGCCGAACCGAAAACATGTGCTTTTAACAATTGTAAATGGCGATGGTGGGGTATAAAGCAACCTCAAAAGGATTTGCCACCCAAACGAATTTCGGCAGACTGGAAAGTTGCTGACAATGCCTATCATCGATTCAACGAAGATGCGAATGGATCAGCTCGATGGCGAAAGCTAGTTTTCGAAGCCAAAAAGAACTGACTTGAATATGACATCACAACTTCCTAGTTTATAGTGAACACTTTCTAAATACATACTTAATTTTCACAGTACTCATGTAAAACGACACTACAAAAAAAATCAAAATCAAATAAAAAAACCTATTATAATAGCATTATTATAATCTAATTGTAATAAGTTGTTTCATCTTTAGAAAATAGATTACTTTTGATTTTACACTATTTTAATTCAAACAAGAGTGTGGGTGGTGGTGTGGATGCTGGTCGTATAAAAATTTTTCTCGATTGGATTTTATGCAGTATATTTGTATGTTTTCATTTCTATTGGGTTATTTTTATTTGAGAAATGAAAAAGAATCAAGTACAAAGACAATCATCGAAATTAAGGACTTTCATCTTTCAAATTGATTTTTTTCTTATGCGATAGTTGATCATTATTTACAATTCTTTGTTTTATATTTGTTGTCACATTTTATTCTTTTATTTTTCTTCCACTCATTTTTTTTTCTTTCTTTTTCAGGGAAGAGAATCTCGATGAGAAAGATATTATTCAATCAGAGAGAATCGTTACGGCGAAAGAATTTTCGTAGGAGACTTTTACGGTGATTTACCTGCAATATTGCTTGATTGACGGGTGTTATGACCGTTTAGATTGCACCGTCATTGGCCGTATGTCAAGGATGTTATTCGAATGTGCCGACATCTATTCAATACAGATAGAGCCAACAAGTTGAAATTATATATATATTGAAATAATAAAAACATTGAAATAGAAGAACTGAGGTTAATCGGCAATTGTCGACCAGTTGGTTATTACGACATGAGCGGCTTTTGATTGATTAAACCATTCATTTAATGAAGTTTCTAAATAGTGTTGAACAGATATGGGCGTGGAGTGTGGCTGTGGCTGTTTATCTTCACTTCATCCAAACCCACACCCCACACCCCTCACTCCACATCCATACCCACACTCACACTCACACCTTACACCCACACCCTGCAGTGCACATCATTCGAGCTATTATGAAATTCTTACATAAAACACTAGAGCCAAATGATCGCCACAAGTTGCTAAATCTTGAAGGTTTTCCTATCGATATATCTGGACAACTACTTGAGCAATTTCAACAAATCGTAATTTCAAAGAGCATCTAAATGTGTACTTATTGTGTGAAAATAAAAGTTCTAATTCAAGCAATAAGGAAAAGTAAATGAAGGAACTTTATTACATGCAATCTTTTTCGTCCACATCAAAAGAATTCTTGAATGTTGCATAATCAGAACATGAAACAAACTTTTTTCGTCTTATTTTATTTGTGGCTGTGTTTGAACGAGACAATTTGTTGTGTAAAAACTCAAATAAAGTGAAGTTCACTATCTCACGGGCTCTGCTCTTAATAAATTCATCACATCAAATCCACTAGTGTTCAGTCTTTACGTTTTTCTTTTTCTTTTGTTTTGTATTTCTATATGTATACAAAAATGTCTAATGATATTCTCACACTTACATCTGTCTTATTTTTTAAGCTAGAATCTTATTTTTGCGCAATAAATATTCTCTTAACATCATTATTTATTTGTTTGAATTATACTGAAGTGGCTGCAAAGATATATCGATTAGAAAATTTTTGAGAACTGTTTTTCTTTCAAACATTATTGATTCTGAAAAAATCAAGAAAATTTTTAACCACTAAAGAAGAAAAATTCAAGGTATCCATATTCACAATTAGATGGAAAGAGCCAATATTTTGAAAGTTGTGAAAAATTGCAAGGATGTGAGCCGTAACTTTGATACAACTCATTCAAAAAATTTTATTAGTTTAAATTTAATAAGCGCCCGTTCTTTGTATTCTGGAAATGGTTGTTGCCAACATGCATTATCTAACAATCACTTTCGTTTGCAGATAACTCATCAAGCAGTGGCGAGGAAATTATAATCAATGTATTGATATCTGAAACGATGATCTTAAATATCATAATAATCAAAATTTTGCACAAAAGTGACCTCACAGGACCCCTATAAAACTCAAAAATATTGTAAAAAAAACCTTTATTGACATCTATGATATGTTTCTCTATGTATGTTCAAGTTTAAAATGCAATTAAATCAGCAATACTTGACTATGTTAAAAGTGACTTTTTGTTGAATTGAATGTATTCAAGACAAGTTGTCGCTCTCAGTTGTAGTACAGCAGAATTAAAAAAAAACAATAAATATCTTTTTCCTAGTATTATGACAAGCAAAAAGAGGTATAATTTATAGAATAGATAATTAATAAAATTAATTAGAGTACATAATTTGTATAGTATGCTCCAATAGATTTCTTTTGCTAGTAGTCCTTTTGTAGGCTCAGCCACTTTCGGGCGACATGTTATATGAACATTCTCTTAGGCTTTCTATGTACATCGAAATTAACAATTTGAAAATGCTCAATTTTTTTGAAAAAACAAACATTTTTCTTCTACAAATAAAGAACGAATTTTTTCAAAGTTATTTTAAAGTTTGTTGTAAATTATATCTCAAATAATATCTTTAAAAATTTGTTTTTAATATAGATATTCTTGTAGGGCTTGTCGAGCTCTGCCGAATCATATAAAAATATGACAAAAACGCTTTTCTCGATTTCTCAATCACTATTGCCTCTTATATTATTTTGCTCTTGTGTTTAAATTTTAGTATATATTGTGTTTTTGTTGATACTTAACTCAATCATCTTATTTATTAGATAATTGAACAACGATTCTATTGTACTGTAACTTTCAACATTTATGGTTATATTTTATACTTGTAAAATTCAACATAGATTATGTAACAGCAAGTTGGCCATCGTCAAATTCTTCTAACATTAGCCTGCTAGGTCTTTTTCATGAGATAGCAAACGTATCTGATACTAGTAATTTGGCTGCTATTCATGCTCGCGCAATGTTTAAGGCAGCAATTCTACTTGCTCATCAATATAATATGACAATCGAAGGAGAATTCATAGGATGGCAAGCAGAGCAAACTACTGGTGACATAATAGATGCTCTGGACGTTACGTGTGATGCAGTATCTATTTCAAATGTTGTTGGTATCGTTGGTCCAGAATTATCGAGAGAAGCTCATCTAATTGCTCCTTTTGGTAAAAAAATTGGTATACCTGTTATATCGTATTCTGCAACTGATCCTGATTTATCTGATAAAAATACTTATCCTAATTTTTATCGTACAGTTTCTTCGGACGATGCAGCAGCATTGGCCCTTGTAAAACTATTCATTCGATTTAAGTGGACATCATGTACAATAATTTATCAAAATGACGCTTTTGGACTTGGTGGAGCCACAAAAGTGTGAGTAAAGCATTTAATGAAAGTGGCTTAATAGTCAAGCAATTGATTGTATTTGATATTGGTATACTTAGTATTCGTGGTGATTTGAAAAGCCTTTTAACTAATGCTGCAACACGAATTGTTGTTATATGGGCTGAATCACTCTATACATCTATGATTTTGCAAGAGGGTCTTGATTTTAATGTAGTCGGACCATATTTTACATGGATACTCAGTGTCAGTATTCCATTAAATTCTTTCAAGCAAAGGTTTCATCAAAACTTAATTGGAATACTTCTGATGAAACCAACTATAGGATCAGTTGTCAATGCATCAATTAATGCAACATTATTAAATGCAGCATATAGTATTTGGCAACAGTATGAACCTGAATCATTTCCTGGATCGATGAATGTAGATTATTATGCATTATTTGCATTTGATGCAACATGGGCATTAATTCAATCATTACAACAATTGTGTGCATCAAAAAGAAATAGTTCTTCATGTTTATCATTTGTTAATGCTGCAGACTGTTTTGGTCATCGTTTCATTAATTCGAAGTTATTGTTAGATGCAGTTACTAGAACAGAATTTCTTGGTATATCTGGTCCTATACAGTTTAATGTTAATGTAACAGATCGAATAACTGGTTTGTATTATTCTGCAAAAAATGCTCAGCCATCTTCGAATGGTTTGCATTTTGTGCCTATATTAGAATATTCTCATCCTGGTGATTGGAGAATATCTACACAAGAAAATATTATTATATGGCCTGGTAATACATTAACACAACCTACTGGTAGAGCAAGTCTTCAAAATGTAAATTTACGAATAGGTATTATTGAATCAGATCCATTTACAATAGTTGAAAAGGTCACAGATGCATCTGGACAAAGTACAATAGAGTATAATGGCTATGTACCGGATCTTATTAAACGCTTGCAAAATAATATGGGATTTATTCCAACTATTAAATTAGCACCATCAAATCAAACATATAATGAATTAATTCTAGCAATAAGTAATGGTGTTTACGATATTGTGATAGGTGATGTGACTGTTACAGCTGAACGAAGAAAATTAGTCGATTTTCAAGTAGTATATATGATGATTCTTTACGTATTCTTATACGAAAAACAGGCAATGTTAATATCGATCTGTTCTCATTCTTAAAACCATTTTCACGTAATCTCTGGTTATTATTGTTAGGTACTTTAATCTATTCTGGTATTTTGGTCTTTATAATAGAGAGACAAAATAATGAAGCATTACAAAATCGATCAATATTGTCTCAAATTTCAATGAGTTTATGGTATAGTTTTGGTACTGTTGTTGGATATGGTGTAGATTTCAGTAGCAATACAGCTTCTGGACGTTTATTAACTGGTGGTTTATATATCTTAAGTTTAATATTAGTAGCATCATATACTGCAAATTTAGCATCTGAGCTGACAATAGCAAAATCAAAAACTTTTATTTCTGGAATTGATGATATTAAAAATGGAAAAATACCATTTAATCGTTTCGGTGTTGTTGTAGGTTCATCTGATGAAGAATATTATTTGAGAGAAATATCTAATAGTATTCGAAATTTTTATCCATTACAGTCTTATGAAGAATCATTCGATGATCTACGCGCAGGTATTATTGACGCATCATTTGTGGATAGTGGTAATGGTGAATATGTCTTGAATAATATATATTGTGATCTAACTGCAGTCGGAGATGGTTTTTCTAAAAGTGTATTTGCTATTGTTACTCCTAAGGAATGGTTATATGCACAAGATTTAGATGTGAATATTCTATCACTGAAAGAATCAGGTGAACTTGAAAATTTAAGAGAAAAATGGTTTGAAGTACAGAACTGTTCCAGCTCAGATGCAACATCAATTGTGATTGGAATTGAAGCAACAAGTGGATTATTTTTGGTTTTTAGAGTCATTAGTATTTTATCTTTATTATTGTTTGCATGGTTGAAACGACATACTATAAAAAATCGTTTATTTCAATTAATATACCCAAAGAAATATTCACCTGAAATACAAGACTCTATGAAAAGACGCTCAAGAAGAACTTCTGAAAATTCACAAAATCATGAAACAGCTTTGCCAACAATTTTATATCTTTAAGTGGAAACTATTTATATCACGAAAAAAAACCTTTCATTACGCGATTAACCACCCATGGAGTAAAATATTCAAGGAAACGGACTGCGTAACGCGTTTCTGAGATTGCAGCATGCGTTTCGCGACGTTTTTTCAATATAGAACGCGTTTCACAGCATTCTTACTTCGATAGAATGCGTTTTGCTGCTGTCGTTTGTTGAAATGATCTGAAACGCGTTTTTCCAAGATTGCGTTTCGAAGCGTTTCCGAAGTAAAATAATGTCGAACGCATTTCGGTCGATAGGTAACGCGTTCCAGAGACACAGATTCGGAGAAATATGAAACGCGTTTCCTTTTCAAAGGCATTTTGCATCGTTTTTGTTTGAAATGATGCAAAATATATCCGTTTTGCATCCAGAGTCTTGCAGGAATTTATCTGTGCAAAACGTATGAGTTAAGCAAAGTTAATTCTGGCACTATGTTAGAAATTATAGGAAATGGGATTTGAACATTTTGTTCCTTGCACTGTTTCTCAACATGAAAATCATGACCCAAACTTTCCAAACGCAAGATTAAAATCGAATTCTTCTAAATGTTTAAGCTGCTAGACTGTTATATAAGTCTGATTGGTAGTTAGACTAATATTGAACATTAAAGTGTAAGAAAAATATTTTTTTCTTCCTTGAAAACTCATTTCACTAGCTTTTTATTGAAAGAAAACGTGTTTCGTAACGTTCAACCAAGCATTGTTTTAAATATTGAACAATTCGAAGAGATTTAGTAAAGACTGATGCTAGTATAATGTGTACGACAACTTTGTTTGTTTATTTGTGAACAAAAGAATCTCGAGTTATTTATAATTTGAATAATTATTGATATGAATTCATATTTGGACTACTTAATAGTGACTGATGATACTGTGTACAATACTATTAAATATGATTTTAGTTCTTACTTTGTTAATGTAAGCATGACCTATTAATAAAAAGAATATTCGATTTACAAAAGAATATTCTTTGCATTTAGTGATACTTTTGGATAAAAGGATGACGAATTTACTTATACAAAAATCTATTAAATAAAGAAAACAATTCAAAAAATTTGTTTTTAAATTTCTTAAAATTTATATCTAAGAGATTCAACTTGTTTAAATATTAAATACAATTTAAATTAATTAAAATCGTTTCAATTGGGTATTTAAATTTAAATTTGAACAAGTTCAAATAAAAAATATACCAAGAGTAGATCAAACTCGTTATTGGGTATAGTCACCAAGGAAATGATAATTTTTAATTTAATGGAATGGGATACTGAAAATCTAATTTAGTAAGTTTACGCAAATCTCTGAAAGACTATGGAATAAGCACTTATATCATTAGATTATTTTAGTTGAACGGTTTGTACACATGTCTTCTACTCTTATGTTCTCGTGTTCGAATCTATGTGTTGGCTTTATCAAAATTGATCTAAGTTATAGCTCTAAAGGTGTATGAAAAATGTAATCGAGTAAAATAATTGTATCTGCAACTCAAAGTGCATGAAGTACTTGACGGTTTTCATTTTTTTCCATCTAGAATATACGACACCACAGTTAAAGAAACGCTACGAAACGTTTTTAGAAAAACGATCGTTTCACAGCGTTCATATTAGCAGATGTGAAATGCGTTAAACCGGTCAGCATTAACGCGTTTCGCAACTATGGAAAAATGCGTTTTGAGAACGCGTTTTTTTCGCAGAAATTTACGCCGTGGGCAATATAAACTAAAAAAGAGTGACCTGTGCAGATGTCACAGAATTATACTTGATCTTGTTCATTGTGAAGTTGTATAAACTTGTAATAGCTTTTCTAACATTTTGTATTTAATGCGGTGCGAAGCACATCATTCATGTAGTCGTGTGCGAGTTTTCTTTTATGCGATGCAAAGCACAGCATTCATGTAATCCTTCGCGAGTTTTCTTTTTTTTTTTTTCTTTTATCTTTTCTCGATATACGCATCTAAACTTCTCATTTTGTGAACGGATGATCTTGAAGACGGATAGTCATAAAGTGCTTGTTCAAACGCGAAGTCCAAGTATCGAGATCGAACTGGTACCTTTTTGTATCGATATTGCTCTAAACATATTTCATTTCCTTATAATCAGCTCCCAAAAATGACAAATATGAATCAATTTCGCCCTTTCGCTGTGAGATAATTCAATTCGAAAAAATAAAACAAAGTTACCTGCCACTTATTTTTCTCATATATCAAACAGCTGTGAACACAGCTGACAGTAGACAATGAATCACAGATATAAATAAACGATACTTTAGAAGTCAAAAACATCAGAGCCCTCTATCAGAATACATATTTCTTATTTACAAAGCTTGGATCTAAATATTCGTAAAGGCTCTATATAGTTATGAAGTGTTTTATGAGTGCTACAATTAATTAAATAACAAAATTTTCTTGTAATCTTTTTTCCACATTTGTACTTATTATAGAAAGATGTTTTATCCCATAGTATCTTATTGATTTTATACGTTTTTTCACTTAATTTTAGATCACATTCGTCAAAACAATAAATAAATAATAACAAAAAACCATAAATTGAAAATTTAATTGAAAGAAAGTCACCAAGTTTTTGACTTTCTAAAGTTTCTTACTTAGAATCGACTATATCTTCGCTAAGTAATAAAAAAGATTTAGCTCGAAAGAAACTTTTCTTTTGATTATCTCGCCAAGTTAAGAGATAATACCCGTTTCTCACTAAGGAGTTTAAGCCATCCTTAGTTTATACGTGCTTAATCTCAACGAGAAAATCTAAGTGTTTTAAATCGAAAATTATTTCATCAGATTTTATTACATTAGTTATGGTTCGAAAAAAATCAGTTTTATCAAAAGTTAAAACACAAAAAGAAGCCTACAAACGACACCAACTGGTTCATTTACGAGTTAGTCGTTCATGACGAATTTTAATTCCAACGGTAAAAGCTGCCAAAAGATTTTTAAGTTTTAGACAAAATGGTTTAGTTGTTTCATATGCACCGAGAACATTCGGCACATCAGATGCAAATTTAATTTCTTTAAACTGCATCAATTATATTAACAACGATGAACAAGTTTTATTTTCTAATTCAATCGAGATGGAATGGCAGCTTGATGATTTAAGTATTACCAAGGATATTATTAAAAAACTTGTATCAAAAGTTTGTCGTTTAGATCATGAACGATAAAGACAATTACAAATTCGAAAGGATAAAAAAAGATCATAGAACAGTCATAGTAATGAAACATCAACGTCAAAGTTTAGTAGACAAAATCATTGGTTCAAGAAAAATTGTTCTCATAATCTTTTATTTCGTGAACAATAATTTGAACGATCAAGAATATATGATCGAAATAAATATCATAACAATAATGATTTTCGTGATAAACAAAAGCTCGTACAAACTCACGTATTTTAGTCAAATATCATACTAATTCAAATTTTCGTGAAAAAATGAAATCACAGTCAAAGATTCATTGTTGTCATAAATATCATAAAGACAAAGTTTTTCATGGCAAAGTTAAAGAACAATCGAAGATTCATATTTTAAATAGATATCATAATAATTCAGATTTTCGAAATCAATATTAAGCACGCAAGGAAGCTCAAGGTTTGGACAGATATTATACTGATAATTCGACACGATTGAAAATGATTCAGTATGCATTAAATTGGTATCGAAATAATAATACTATCATGAGACAAAATTCAAGACGTCTTTATAATCAACGTAGACGTATTTAAAAGAAATATAATGTTATTCAAAGTCATAAATTTACAATAAAACATAGAAATCTATACATGAATAATTTGAATAAATTCCGACAGATAATTCGAGAATGACCTGATTATGTTTGTATATCATGCCGATTAGCACTTTTTCATAATCAGGTAATACCATTTGTTGAAGAAAAGTATATAAAAAAGAACATGTCATATGAAATAAAAAAATATATTCAATCTTTCTTTAACTATTGATTATCAAGAGAAAGAAAATGGATTTGTAAATTATGTTTAGATAAAATAAAGAAGCGACAAATACCAACTCGAGCAATCGTGAATAAGTTAAAAGTGTATGAAGCTCATTTGAATTAAAAAAGTTAAAGAATCTCGAAAAACATTTAATTGCTTTAAGATTACCATTTATGAAAATTGTAAATTTAACATCGGGTAAATTATCAACTAGATTGGCACAAAAAGGTACTAAAGGGTCACTTCATTGTGTGCCATCAGATGTACAAGTTACTGTAACTGCATTATCTCGTCCAGTTGATAAATCTATGATGGTGCGATTACAATTGAAACGTCGACTAAAGTATAAAGCTGTGTGGAAAGAACAATTAATAAATCCACACGATGTGAGAGATGCTCTATTTGTTTTAACTAAAATGCATCCAGGCTATAGAAACATAAATATAAATGATATTAATGAAAATTATCTTACATCTAATCAAGAAAAAAACACGAAAACAACAGTGAGTCAATAATTGAATCAATGGATGTTGATACCAATGAAGAAGAAAATTTACTTGAAGAAACAGAAATATCTGATAAAAATCGTTTGAAAGCATTAGCATTATATGACATTGAAAATAATACTAATAGTGATGAAGAATTAGATGAAGATAATAAAGATATTCGTACTAAATATAATATTGGTACAGATTCATGTGCTCAGCCATGTGATTTTAATGATTTTTTTAGTCTTTGATAAAGAACCATGTATAGTACACACTAAGATAAAATGTGTCGCATGTGTCGCACTTTGCGACACAATGTACGACACATTAATATGCGACACGAGGAGCTCGTTGCGACACATTTCTTCCAGCGGACGTACGACACATTCTTGTGCGACACATGCGACACATTTTTAACACGTGATTTGAATCCATTTTTCGGCACGAGGATTATTTTTTTTGAAAATTCGAATATTTACTATTTTTTCAGTTAATTTCAAATAGTAGCATCTATTCTTGGAGTTCAAGACGGTAGATCTTAAGATCTAACTGTCTCGAGACCAATTGATCTCGATCAGACTACTTCGAGGCAGTCCATTCTCGATCATCTAGCGACCTCTCAACATGTTCTCGAATAATAAGTGGTCCAGAAATAATCAAGAAAAAAAGGCATACGAAAATGTGTAAGTCAAGTACGTTCAATAGGCTCGGTTATATGCAGCTGCACTCGCAAAACAAAATGGTGAATGAACGGTTGACATATAGGCTATGACACATCTATAATGCGACACATTTTTGTACGACACATTTTTATAATGGAGTCTGCGACACATTCTTGTACGACACATATATACGACACATTTTATTTTAGTGTGTAGCACCAGCAGAAAAAAATAAATTGAGTTCATTATTGACTGATAAAACAATTGAAGCATTAGCCTTTCTTCATTTATTTCCAGATGGGCGAAGCCCATATGATGAAGAACGTGAAATAAGTCTGAAATGGAAAGAATATTGTAAAGCACGTTTATGTTCACCAGATTTTCGGTTTGCTGCTGATTCAAGTTACATCTTTTATCTACAGTATTTAGGCGACTTGAAACAAGTATACTCCGAAATCAATATTGCTTCCCGAAAAAAATTACTAATGACTGCTAAATAAAGCTTGAACGAAGGGCAAATGAAATTTCTAATGAATACAGATATGATATATTGTCATTTGCAATCTGTTTCAGGTAATCCACAGTATTGGCATCAACGTCTAAAAGATCTATTCGGAATGACACGCCAATTAGGTTTTCCAACTTTCTTCATTACACTGTCGAGTGCAGATCTACGTTGAAAAGAATTTATTGATACATTTGTACGTCATAGTGAATTTGCAATTAAGGAATCATATGCATTTGAACAAAAAGCAAAACTATTACGAGCAAATCCTGTTCTAGCTGCTCGTTTATTTGAAAGACGATTTACTTCTTTGATGAATTTATTTGTGACAGGTGGAGCATGCTGTCTAGGAAATGTAAAAGATTGGTTTGCTCGTATAGAACTGCAATTACGAGGCTCACCACATTCATATATGCCAACTTGGGTGGAAGGTGCCCCTAAATACTATGGACCCTAAACAGATGAAAAAACTCGTGAAGAAATCGTTAAATTTTGTGACAAATATATTATGACACGATTTTCTCCGTTGGATGAAGATGCCGAATTACATAATATTATCAAAAAAGTACAAACTCATTCTCGTAATCATTCAAAATCTTGTTTAAAATATCATAAAACTTTGTGTCGATTTGGATTTCCGCGACCTGTTGCTCGACGGACTTTTATATGTGAGCCAATAAAAGTTGATAATGATGATGAAAAACAACATAGTAAAAAAGTGAAAGAAATTTTAGCTAAAAGGAATACAACGATGAATACTGTGGAAAAAGAAAAAATGTTATTACGGTCGGATTTTTATAATCTTCTAACAAAATATAACTGGACCTGTGACGAGTATGAAAGTGCTCTTCGATTAGTTCATACTAGAACAATAGTAATTCACAAAAGAGAACCTAATGCACGATGGGTTAATCAATATAATGAAGAATTATTGTAAGCATGGAATGCTAATATGGATATTCAATTCGTACTTGATCCATATGCCTGTGCAAAATATCTTATGTCGTATACAACGAACCCACAACAGGAAATGAGTTTATTATTAGAAGCAAGTCATAAAGAATGTCGTGAAGGAAATATATCAGTACGTGAAGAAATGAAAAAATTAACAGGTACATTTTTTTAATAATCGACAAGTTAGTGTACAAGAAGCTATTTATCGGGCTACTAAAATGCCTTTTACATATTCAAGTCGAGGTTTTGTTTTTGTACCAGCACATTCAAACAGTTGTAAATTTTTAAAATCGCAAAACATGTTAAAAGAAATGGATCCAGATGATGAAAATATATATGTCTAACTTAGTTGACAAATATTTTGATAGACCAAAAGAACCGGAATTCGATATTTGTATGGCAGATTTTGCTTCTCAATATGAAATCATATCGATTAATAAGAACATTAAAAATCCAAAGACGCCAATTCTTTCGAAATATGTATTCTACATTTCGTAGTAGAATGAATTATGAGCCGCACTATCACGGATACTGCTTGGGGTGTGGGTGTGCGTGAGAGTGTGGGTGTAGGTGTGATCTAGAGGACCCACACCTACACCCACACTCACACCCACATTCACACACTCCACCCACACCCACCCACATCCATACCATACCCACTCACACCCACACCCAGAAACTCCTAATGGCATTCTTCCTTTAAAACAACTTACTCAATTAGTTATTCAATATTATCATTTTCCATTTGAAAAAAATAGTTAAATTATTACATAGTACATCTAGTTTATATATATTAAAACTAGACTTATTATCGTTCAATGAAAGGAATTTGTAGTTTATTTAACATACTGAAACTCATCAATATGTATCAAAAAGAAA